TTGATTTTAACAAAACCTCAAGCCAAATCAGACAAAGCTTACATCCTTAGTTCAATTCTGCCCACTTAAACCAACTCACAAGAATTCTCCCTCAATTAAAATTTGGCATTGTGTTTGGAGGGAAGTAGACTCACCCAAAGGACGGAACACCACTAAAAAATAACACTTCTAACACTTTTGATGGGTTACCTAGACATGTTTGTGCTTATTAGCCTAATAGAAATGATACTCCCAATGGGCAAACATACCCTCAAATGCTGATCATTCAGCAACATCATCTTAACGGGAAGATTCTCTAGCCATACCGTCGACATTCATGATAACACTGCCATCCTCATCTATGAATTGCACGCACAATCCAAAACCCATTGCCCCCAATTTATCTGATGTCAGCACCGTCGTGGCCTATTATACTAGTAAATCTATCTTACGCTCAGCTCCTTTCCTGCCATGTCCTATTCAAACCTTCCAAAATCAACTTAAATCTGCACAAACCGACGCATTAGATTGCGCATAAACAGTACCATGAATCCCAAGCATTTAAAAGATAGCTCATCAAAACAAGAATAAGCCTCAAGACCCATCGAAGTACCCGCCACCATAATACAAAACCTATCTATTCCACTCCGATATAAAGCTAAATTCTGTTCCAAATAGTGGGCCATATCAAGCAGCAGCGTTGCACAGAAAATTACCAAAAGTGGTTGCGTGTGAGGTCGGGGTTCTGCACAGCAGGTGCACTAACTAGGGTGAGCTACCACAAACCCATTGTGGCTTGATTTTATTGCTATCAAACCCAATGTGGGTTGGGTGCACACCATTTTGCTGTTGGCAACAACAGATCCAACCTAACACACGCAACCATTAGCAATTCAAAAAATATAAATGGATCCTCGTTGATTGTTTATTGGTTTAGTAGATGGTAATCACTAGGGGTGCAACTGGGGCGAATTACGTGAGTTAGAGGCTCAATCTTGAGGTATGAAATCTTTAACTCTAACCCAACATAACTCAATCCAACCGTCAACCCGGGCTAACCAATCGAGCTCAACCTATCCTTAATTTTTCAGCTTTGGGTTGAATAAGCTTGCAAGTCGAACTGAAACTTTTTAAATTCAAATTACTTCAGTAACAAATTAAATAACCATATGTAAATGTCAGGTTCTATGATATGAGGAATCACTTCAATGGCAATCAGAATACCGAGAAATAGAGGCCTAAGTAGAGCACTGAGATGTCAGAAGAAGTAGTCCTCGCGTGGAGGATTGAGGAAGAGGTGGTGGAGTTTAGCTCTTGATGATCTTTCTAGAGTTGGTACAAGAGGGCATGAATTATATAAGATAAACCTAAAATTCGATTCAATTCAATTCAATTCAATAAGAAGTCTAATCATTAAATTATGTAAATAAATTTGAATTTACATGGAATCAACTTCATTTTATGTATAGGCTAGGAATTATAAAATGTGCTCCTAATGGGATATATGATAACATATAGGAAGTATGGCGTGGGTGTAACTGACATTTTCTACATTGCAGCCCTAAGATCTCCCTTCTAGGTCACACCGGCTGCAAGTATATATCCCTCAAGCTTCTGCAAACTTCATAACATGTTCAGGAATATCGATAGATCTCATTTTCTTGGACAGGAGGAGATCCTTTGATACAACAGCAGCATCAGCTCAGGCACAAGAGTGAGGTGTATCTGGTGTATCTTCTATAAGATAATTCAGAATCTGTTTAAATTGGTTCAGCAATATCTATATACATTATACTAAATGTTTGCACAATGAAATTTGAAACATATAACAGCTTCCTGTTTGTATAGCCTATCAAGTGAGACATCTTTCAAAAAGCTATAAGTCCAAATAAGACAGTATCATAAAAAATATAATTAACTGTTGTGATAACCTAAGGTTGTGTCCCAAAATTGTTCTTAGCATTTCATTAAAGAAGCAACCAATTTCACTTTTTTCTAATAATAATTCAACCCGATTCCACAATATCATAAGCTGCACCAAGGTTCATTTCCAGAAGGAGATGAATGTTTAAAGCCAGTAAAATCTTAGGAACCATATCCTTGTAAACTTTCATATTGCAATGTAGTTACTACTAAGAGAGAACTTGTTGACCTACCAGGTTCATGGTCCTTTCTACGGATAGCTTGTTGACCTATTGTTCATGGTCCGCCGAGGTTTCTGGACTTTCCTAAATCATTACTACCCAAATTTCACAATCCTGTTAGGTCATATCACTTGATATCCTCGTATTCCATGATCTTGTAGTGAAGTTGTTATGAAATATGGATCGAATAGGAATTTATGAGAACAAAGAGAAAAATTAATGACAAGAAAATAAATAGTGCACACACAAACGAGACTAGGATTTACGTGTTTTGGCTATGCCTACATCCACGGGCGATGATGATTCATATCAATATAAAAAAGAAGATTACAAACTGAAAAACATTTTGGTTCTTCCCCAAAATAATCTTTCTTCTCATACCACTAACTCACCAACAAAGAAGACTCACACTACATTCTCAAGAAATACCCAAAAAGTATATAGTTTACACAAAGAGAAAAACCCACCCAAAGACAAGCTTCTAGTGTCACATGAAGATTGCACAAACAAAAGGATTTTCTCACACACAAAACCAATACACTTTCTTGATCTGAATAGTCTCTGGCTCGGATGCTTTTCATCGAATGAGTACAATGCTATTTATAGCCAAAAATATACTTGGTGTCCAAGTATATTACAAAGCTTCCTTTGGAAGCCAAATAGCACTTGCTACCCCAGAATAATTCTTGTTACCCAAGAGTTTTAAAGCTTCCTTTGGAAGCTTCAGCATCACACTTCTGTAGCCAATAGATTTTTGTCATGTCATAAATGAATTTTAGACAAATTTCTAACAAAAGTGTAGAGTATAAATTCTGAAGATAACACTGCTTCCAGTGGAAAAAACTAGTGGATGTCACATAACAATACGTGGATGCAAGTTTTCACAAGACCTTTAGCCCTTACATTGTAGCATGCTAACTAGTATCACTTTCAAGACTAAGGAAAGATTCATTGCTAATTTCCTATATCCAGTAGCAGTCTACTTTTAGGTGTAAGTTAACTAAATTGCCTCATTATTCAAGCATGAAATCAAAATTGTTTCAACCTAGAAATAGTCTGTTACATGATTTATGCAGTCAATTCAAAAGCAAATTGAAAAGCAATCTAAGCAAATGCATCTAGGGTTCCCCTGGCATAGCCCCCAACCCTTACTCGTACCAACCAAAGTGATGTCCACGAACATGTATTGAAACCTACTAGACACTTTTTTTTTTTTTTTATAAGTAATAATTGAAATAAAAAAGGCGTTCAAGTGGGGAACGCATCCCTTATACAAAAGTGGAACTAGGGATTAAGATCCCAAAGAAGCCAAAAAAATAATTAAATCTTCAGAAGAAGAATAAGACTTTCTCTTCACATAACTAAAAAGAGAGCGTATGATGTGAAGTTTGAGACTCGCCATGGACGATTCTTTCCCTTCGAACATTCTATTATTCCTCTCCTTCCAAATGCACCACCAAACACAATGTGGTACAACTCTCCAATAATCGCAAACAGCGCTACTCACACGGCATCCTCTCCATATACAAATCAAATCCTTAGGATAACAAGGCATAAACCAATGCATATGAAATAGACAAAAGATAAGATTCCAACAATCCGTCACTATAGGACAATGTATTAGAATGTGAGCAAGTGACTCACCATCTTGTTTGCACAAACAACACCAATTAACAAGACAATTGCCCCTTTTTCCTTAGATTATCAATCGTAAGGATCTTACCCTAAACAGCAGTCTAAACAAAGAATGCCACTCTAGTTGGAGCCATAGAACGCCAAAGAGTCTTTCATGAAAATCAACAATATCGAAATCAGAAAGACATAAGAATAAGGAACGAACTTCAAAGTGACCATGGGAAGAAGGAATCCATGTCATGACATCACTACCTCTGCCAACTGCCTCCTGTCGATACAACAAATCCATGAAAACACATACCTCGTCCATCTCTCAATCCTGAAAAGAGCGTCGAAATTACACGTCCCACGTAATCCCTCTACTATCAAGTTGATAACAGTTGGCTACGTAGGTAAGTCTATCAACTGCAATACTATATAAACTGGGAAATAAATTAGATAAAGGCTGGTCTCCACACCAAAGATCCTCCCAAAAGCGTACACATCTGCCATTACAAACTTTGAATTTGATATGAGTAGAAAAAGTATCCCATCCATTCCTTATGAATTTCCATGCCCCAACTCCTCCCACTAGAGAAACCGGGCGAGTAAACCAACCACTACTCTCTTCCCTATATCGACATGAAATTAGCCATAGCCACGGGCGATGCCTTTCCCTTCCATACCTCCACAGCCATTTACCCAGAAGAGTTTGGTTAAAAGGGACCAGTCTTCTGATACCAAGACCACCAAACTTCATTGGCTTGCAAACTTGTCCCCAATTGACAAGATGATACTTAAATTCATCACCTCTTCCACCCTAAAGGAAATCCTTTGAATTTTTTCGATCCTATCAGCAACAGAGCATGGAATTTGTAACATAGATAAAAAATAAGTAGGAAGGCTCGATAAAGTGCTCTTTATAAGCGTAACTTTCCCTCCCTTAGACAAGTATTGCTTTTTCCATCCTGCTAATCTCTTCACATACCTATCAATCACAGGGTCCCAACACCCCACTATTCTAATGGAAACCCCTAAAGGCAAGTCCAAATACTAAATTGGAAAAGAACTCAACCTACACCCAAGGACTTCCGCTAGAGAAGAAATATCCTGAACATCTCTAACCAGCACAAGCACATGTCACATTAACTTTCAGACCAGGGACAGCCTAAAAGCAGGCCAAAATGCACCTCAAATATCTAAGCTAAGACACATTAGCATAACAAAAACCAAGGTGTCGTCTGCACAAAGTAAATGAGAGACCTCCATCTGATGAACAGGATCTCTTCCCACCATAAAGCCCTTGATGAGATCAAGATCCTCTGCTCTTCGCATAAGTCTGCTTAAGCCCTCCATAACAATAAGAAAGAGGAAAGATGATAGGGGATCTACTTGTCTTAAACCTTGAGAGCACCCAAAGAAACCAACAGGAGACCCGTTCACAAGAACAGAGAATTTGACTGATGAAAGACATGTCTCAATCCATTTCCTCCATTTACTTCCAGACCCCATTCTCTGAAGCAAATAAAGCGGGAAATTCCAATTCACATGAACATATGCTTTCTCAATGTCAAGTTTGCACAAAACTCTAGGAACTCCACTTCTCAATCTGGAATCCACACATTCACCAGCAATAAGAACTGAATCAAGAATTTTTCGTCCTCTAACAAAAGCATTCTGGGAATTTGAAATAATCCCATCCATCACTCCCCTTAACTTAAGAGCAAGGACCTTAGCAAGAAGCTTGTTGATATAACGCACTAAGCAGATAGGAAGAAAGTCTTTAATGTCAGAAGCACCTCCCTTCTTAGGGATAAGGGCAATGAAAGTTCCATTAAGCGACTTCTCAAAAGCACCAGTAGAATAAAACTCCTAAAAAGTGCCCAAGACATCATTTTTCACAACTGTCCAACTTTCCAAAAGAAACCGCATAGTGAACCCATTTGGCCCAGAGCTTTGTCCCTATTACAACTAGAGCCATGAGAACTTCTTCTTCAGAAAAAAGAATCTTAAGCCCTTCCCTATCGATCTCGGAAATGGCCTCGAAATGAAGACCATCAAGTTTGGGTCTCCAAATAAACGGTTCAGTATAAAGCTTCTGATAAAAAGAAACAATCCCATTATGCACATCTTCCTCCTTCCACATCTCTACACCTTCTACCCAAATACGTCCTATATGATTACTTCTTCTATGAGCGTTAGCGAGTCTGTGAAAAAATTTTGTGTTGCGATCTCTCTCTTTTAACCAAAGAGCCCGAGATTTTTGTCGCCAAGATGTCTCCTCCATACTAGCAATCTTTGCAAAATCTGCTTGACAAGAAGCTCTCCTAGAACGCAAGAACTCCACATCCCCACCCCCCTCTTCAAGGCGATCATTCTCATAAAAATCAGCAAAGACTCTACTCTTCCTCCATTCAAGATTCCCAAAAACGTCTTTATTCCACTTTTTAAGATCGAATTTGAGAGCCTTCAACTTTGTAGTTAACATGAAGCTAGATGAGCCTATGACAACAACTCCCTCCCACCAAGACTAAACTTTCCCTTGGAAGTCCTCCGCTCTTAGCCACATATTCTCAAATTGAAACGGAGACCTTTGAGAACTCAAACCTCTACAATCTAAAACCAAAGGAACATGATCAGAAATGACCCGAGCCAAAACTGCTTGAACGACATCCGAGAATTTTTCTTCCCACTCCCTAGAAATCAAAAAATGATCCAGCCTTGAAAAAGTGACTGGATCATTTTTGACCATGTATAGGCTGCGCCTTCCATAGGTAAATCGATAAGAAGATACTCGTCAATGAAATCAGAAAACTGATCCATTTCAGAAGACCTTTTACCTCATGTGGACCTCTCTAATGGGAATCTAACAGAATTAAAGTCCCCACCCAAGCACCAAGGAAGAGACCACATTTCTTAAGCATGATTAAGCTCCTCCCAAAAAAAAGGCCGATCAATATCAACAACTGGTCCATAGACCCCAATGAAAACCCAACTGAAATTGTCCTCTTCCAACTTGAACTTACAAGACACTGAAAATCTCCCCACCCACGCATCCAGCCGTGACACCCATCTACAGTCCCACATAATTAAGATACCGCCTGAAGTACCATTAGCATTCAAAACCTCCCATTCTACAAACCTTCCTCCCCACAAACTCCTAACCACCCCATCCGTAGTGGATGCCAACTTTGTTTCTTGCAAACAAACAACATGGCCCCCACTTCCTTAAAGCAACCTTAACCACTCTCCTTTTATTCGGGTCGTTGAGACCACGAACATTCTAAGAAATAACTCGTAGCTTCATTAAAAACCAGCTAAGATAATCTCTCCACCTCCTTTCTTCGCGCTCCAACTCCTAGTCCTTCCCTTCTCCTTCACCACCCCCTTCTTTCCTTCATAATTGACTTCAGAGATCAAATTCTTGATCTCCTATGCCCCTTTCCAGGATGATAAAGGCCTCGGGTTCACTACCTCTTCAGTCACAGCAACCTCTCTACCTTCCACTATAGCTTGAAGAATGGAAAGTGTTTGGTTCCTGTTTCCTTATGAAGAAACACCTAGCAACTCACTAGCAGCTCCTAAGTTTTCAATCATTCAATCCTTACCCAAATCAACATTTGTTATTGAACAACCAGATCTCTCAATTGCCAAAAGTTCCTCCTCTATCACTTCAGAAAAATTATTCTCCATCTAAGGTACAAACTCGTTAGAACAGACTTCTTGGATAGAAACCAAATCAGTAGCCACCTCCTCATCACAAGCCCTTCCAAAATCAAAAGGCTCTGAAAACGAGTCAAAATCAATACAGTCTCCTAGTCCACTACTCAAGAAACTAACCAATTTTTTTTGTTCTTCCCCAATAGACGATGTACAATTAAAACCTTTTAAAGTAACATAAAGGCGAAGTTCTTTGAGCAGAGCCATGGTTGACTCATTAGATAACTGAAAGTGAAGGTCTCTTCCAACTCGAACCAAGACCCCATCTGATGAGTCCTGAACTTCACAATTAAGTGAATCTGTTTGGCCTGAAGTGACAATTTCGCTGGTAGTCGTCTCTGTAATCGGCTCAAACTCTTTAGTAGGTGCCAAAGGCACATCAGTCATAACACAACTCTTCTCCATTGACATCTCAACATCGCCCCTTACCTCTCTAGAAAAGGAAGAAGAAGAAGAAGGTGCGTTAAGGGAGCTCTGAGAATGAGAAATAGAGGACATACCTGGGTCAATGGAGGTCCATTTCTGTTTATCTTTCTTCGACCATCTATAAACATGGTTGCTTCTGTTAGAATCCCGAATTGAAAGTCTACAGCTATTTCCCATTATCCGAGATATAGCTGGAGGGGGCTTGATTGAAGAATCAGCGCAACACTATAGATGACGAAAACCCTTCTTATCTGTTCCCACACTAGCCTCATATTCATTTAATTTCATCCACCTCCTCTTCTCTGGTGAGCTCCAGAATTTCACAGAGGGAACATGAGGAAGACGATCCTGTACATGAATTGGTTTGGTGGCTGGACAGGGTTTTGTATTAAGAAAAGAAACTGATTTCTTATTATTGGGCCCCAATGAACCAATCCTTTTAAGTCTTTAAATGGCCCAATACGTAACTTAGTATTATTACGACTGGACTTGGGCAAATATGGGTTGGGCTTATCATTTAGGAAAGAAATGGATAGCTTATTATTGGGCCTCCACATAACATTCCTTTTAAGTGAAGCTTGTGGTCCATAAGAACCTAAAGGCCCATTGTTCAACCCAGAAAAAAGAGGCCCATACTTATGCCCATTTAATTTAGCTATATGAATGGCCCTCGTGAAGCCACGAGGTTGCCCACGTGGTTGAATACCATCAAGGTGATCAAGACGAGGATTTGAAAAGCGTGGAAAATGGGCGTTTTGCGTACACCTCAGAAATCTGTCAACCACACTCGTTTATGGCGCATCGGCAAATGCTCTTCATTTTCCTTGAGAACTCAATTGAGCCTGCAAATGCCGATGATGCCTGCCGTTGAATTCTCCATCATACGGGAGGAGAGAAGCCTCACCAAACCTATAATAGGATTTTGGAAGAATGCAAGGTGAGGTTTCCTCAATCAACCTGATCTTGAAGGCTACTCGTTAGTCTTTAACAAAAACAAACTCCGGCATCACAGCTCCGGCGGAAACAGGAATGAGAACTCGTTCACCTCTTGCTTGATCATCCGCTTCCACTCCTCTAAACCCATCGCAGAGGTCACCGATAGCTACAAATAGTTTGTGACACCAGAGATGGAGGGGCAATCCAAACAACACCACCCTTCGTAACCTGTCACGATCAACCACAGCTGAGTATCCCACCGCAAAATCCCACTTGTCGATGTGTAGGGAAGCTTCACCCCATCTCTTCCTCCCCACATTCAAAACTCTGCAAGCTTCGGCCTCCGATGGTAGACGGAACAAGAACAAGCCGTTAGGTAGGTTTGAGACTTTTACTCCACACGAGATCTGCCAAGATATCATCGCCCACTCCTCAATCCTCTTAATGCACCCCACATCATGATCAAATCGACAAACCAGACAAGATTTCAGTACAGATTCACGTTCTGCAATGCTCTGACGATCAACCCTAAGGACCACATCTCTATCAATTGAACAACTTTGGATCTTCCTGAGAAGATTGAGACATGGTAGGGTCGCTACTTTGAGATATGAACGTAGCATGATCCGTCAAAATCAAAAGAGAAAATAAAGCGAAAGAGAACGATAGATGCCGGAGTAGAAGACTCCGGCGTCAAAAGAGAAAAGAAAAGTTGAGAGGAAAGTCAAACATCTATTTTAATTGCCTTCTTCAAGCTTGATCTCACTTATAGTGACCCCTAAAGCTTGACCAATATTCAAGTTCAAGGAGATGATAAATAAGTCTAAATCATGTAACAAGAGAAGAAATGGGGACAGAGAGGAGAGTGTGGCCGGCTGCAACAAGAGGAAAAAACATAAAGAATAATCTCTCACAATGATTCTGCATATAAAGGGATCAAGTTTGAAAATGGCATAAAGGTACTAGATATCACAACCAAACTCCGCTACTTGACTCTTACAAGTACTCCAGCCAAACTCGACAAAGGGGTGGAATCATTCGTTCTCCCCACTTAAACCAGCCGCACATGAACTCTCCTTTGATCAAAATTTGGCATGTGACATTGGGGCTTGCCATGTGTTTGGAGGGAAATAGTCTCTCACTCAAAGAATGGGACACCTTAAAATAAAAAAATTAAATAATAATAATAATAATTAACTCATGGCAAACATTTTATTGTAATATGTGAAACATAAGGAAAAGAGCATTTACTTCTGATGCCACGAGAATGGTATAGACAAAAAGAAGAGGCATGACCTAAGGGTCAATCATGGAATAAATACATATATCAATTACAATATTTCTTTTACTTTTTATGTTAGAGGGATACGAGCACAATATTGAACTTAACACAAGCAATATTAATCCTTAATCCAGTTGCAATAAACTCCACCACTCTACAGGCAAAGCTTAAAGATCATTTTCAATCATTCACATTTTCTTAAATGTCTACCTCAACATGAGATCAATGTGCATACCTCCATAAAAAATAAAATAAGATAATTAAGAAGGGATCAGACACCCTTTTCAATCATATTAAAACCTCATTAGTCCAAGCAATGGAAAAGGATTATAAACACTACAATTTATTAAAGCAAAACGAGCATCTTAGGGGAACTAAAACCAATTCATTTACGGTTATACCCATGCCGCTTCTTCAATCTTCTCTATAAATGAGACATCTCACTATCCACCAAGGTAAGGGTCTCCCAAGAAACTCCACTTGGTCATACGCTGCCTATTTTCCTTTCTTATACTCACTCTCCCTAACCACTCAGTGTCACAGCTATGACACATACAAGCATAAATTATTATTAAACTGTACATGATACGTGTGACTTAAATAATGGAATGTTTCAGGCATGGGAGTTGTGGATTGCTGATACGGAGGGATGGATTTGATGGACCTAATATTGGATAATCCTTCTTCCACTTCTACATTGTTGAGATACATTAAAATAGGGCTTCTCCATCTCCAAGGAAATCCAAATGATCGAACTACCATGTCTGATGTTGTCTCAATGCTTAGAATGAATATGCACCTCTACCAACGCCTAAGGAAACTACATTTTCTACCTGCCGGCCTCAGGTGAACACAAATGCAGCATCACTTAGCATTGCTGAAAACTGTTCAGTAAATACAGTCACACATTCAGTCTGATACAAAATGCCTTGGAATATGAAATTATGATCTCGCGTCAATAACTGAAAGTGTTACAGTATTTATTCAATAGCTTTCAGTATTACTAAACGTTGCATTTGTGTTCACCACAGCCCGGTAGGGAGAAAATGTAGGTTCCTTAGGTATTGGTAAGATCATTTTCAATCATTCACATATTTCTTGGATGTCTACCTCGACCAGAGATC